ACACGATGCTGTAATTCCTGTGTACAACAGGTATTGCTGCCAGCCTCCAACCTTCATCTTTCAGTGTAGCAAACGTGAGAAGGGAAGCTAAAATGAAGGTGTTCTTGGCTCTTGCTTTGTATGTTTCAGTCTGAAATCAGGTTATAGTCAAATTAAATGGCTTGCAAGTCTGCTTTTAAGATTGTGAATGCGACAATTAAAGCTAGTCTGGGCTGCAAGACACAGTGAGGTGGAGTGGATAACCAGATGATGTGCACTGTGAAAACGGACGTAATTGAATCACTTGTAATTTGTAGTTTCCCATCTTTCTTTTTCATGAGGATGTACTTGCCAACCACATTCCTGCATCGCTCTTGTGTTCATGGGGTCATGAGATTGGGTAAATTTAACAGATTAGCTGTGATGGATGTGCTTGTGATGCCTGTGAGTTCAGAATGCAGACTTGTCTGACACAGAGATACTTATTCTACAAACAATTTTGCCTTTGCTGCATTAGAAATGCTGAAATTGGCAGTGCAAGATAGTACAAAGTGGTTTGTGTGGCATCAAAATCAATGGAGTGATAAATATAACTGCAAAGATAGGAGGGAAATTAATATATCCACACCTGTGAGTTCTGCCCTACTTCAGAAATACTCAATATTCACAAGGCTGTTTGCATTAGCAACATGTGCTTCTTGGCTGTAGGAAATTAAGGGTTCCCTTTCATCTCACCCACCACTGGGCTAGAAGTTCCGTTGCTGTAATGACCAACAGGACACTGGTTCCCAGCTGGTGAGGCATGGAGCATATACTCCCATTTCAGATCACTTAAAAGGCAGCAACATCACAGCATGATATTGTAAGGAGGCAACAGTAGACATTGCTGAGAACCTGATTGGAAGTGTGAGTTGTATCAGCACTTCCTCACATGCTTTGATTTACAGCAGTAGGTGGGAGTGAGGAGGAGGCAGTAGAAGCAGTGGTTGCAAAAGGGAATTTGGGACCCACCGACCTTGAAGGCTGATTGAATACTGGAGTTGGGTTTTGTGTCTGCTGATGGGAGATTGAGTACTGTGTGTCTCATGGAGAGTGAACCTCTGCTAGAAAGTCTGTCACAACAGCATGATTTCTGGAGATAAAGACCTCAGTCTCAATAGATGTGTTGTTCTTCTGGGTAATCTTTTAAAGACAGAAAATAGGCACTAAAAAGGAAGACAGTGGGAACTGTGTGATATCTGCAGCAACAGGGAAGTTTATTCATTTGTGCACTTCCCCGTTCTCTTAGTCCATTTCTTCCACCCCTCTGGTTTACATTTTGAGAAATGCAAAACGTACAGTGTGGAAGGGCCATTTTAAATCTTCCACTATGAACAGAGTGAAGTCTTCATATTTTGAAGAACAATAACCAATGTTCTTTTTTTGCCTTTCTTTAGGACTCCTGAGCAGTGTCCGAGTGTGGTTTCTTTGCTGTCAGAGAGCTACAATCCCCATGTGCGTTATGGGGCTGCCATGGCTTTGGGTATCTGCTGTGCGGGCACTGGAAACAAGGTGAGGACCAGACGCATCCATTGCCAAGACTGTTTCTGCTCTGTCCTGCCACAGAGGTGTTTTTGTGGAAACATCACACACAGAGATCAGATTTCTCACACATGAACACTGCTAGCCAGTTGGAGTAGAGCAGTGCTTCTTTAAATTCTGTAGGTGTCCTGGGCATAGAGATTCTTTTACTGCTAGTACAGAGTAGATAAAGTAGAAGAATGGTTTTATACATTATTGCCACGTTCTTGGGATTTTGATTTCAAAACTGAAAGTTGCCACTGAACTTTAGGTGTATGTTCAGTGCTCCAAAATCGATACTCCTTTGCCCTTGGAGCTGATCTTTTACAGACTGCTTTAGGGGTAACAAGGGGATGCCAATGACAGGAAGACAGCAGGTATTACGCATAACTTCTAGCTCCGTTTTTCTTCTCTGTGATACACAATTCATGGAAGATCCATGTAGTAAAGCCAAGTGCAATGAAATTTAATGAAATTTACTGTAGCTTCAAGTGTGTAATTCACAGCCAGTAGATTTTATTCTCACTTTATAAGTGTCAGTGAAGGATGATTCTCACAGATGATACTTCTAGAGTAGAAGGATTCCCACTTCTGCTGTGGGAAGTGAGCACCCATTGGGACAAGCAGCAAGTAAACTTGGGGATAAGCTTCCTCTGCTTCACCTACGTGTGTGTATGATCTGTACTGGTACTGAATCACAGTTTCAAAACAGGTGCACAGACTGTCCATGTGGAAGTAGTATTTCATGCTTCTGAGTCTTTGATAAGTCTTATGCTTATCTGTATCATCCCTTCCTCAGCTAGTATTAAACACTTGGTCTGTGGCTCTTGCAAGTGAGTGCTCCCCAGCATGTCACTTGTGTTGTGAAATGCACAGAATGCGCTGCCTGCTGTCTTTAGTATCTAGAGAAAACTGAAAGTCCTATTTTTACCCAGGTTGCTTTATTCTCTAGTGGAAGGTGGAATCAAGGAGCTAATTATTTTTAACCTGCTGCATCCAACAACTTAATTTAAGTTGGAATGCTTTTAGTCGCACAAAGTAGTCTGTTTTAGTTCCAGATACATTGTGTGATAAAGACCTGAACCATCTGATTATGTGCAGACATGTCTTCCAGAGCTTATATTAGTAAGTTTTGAAGGCTCAAATGTATTAAACTTTGGGGGTCAGAAAGACCAGCTTTTTGTCATAGTGGATGTTCCATACATAGTACTGAACGTGTGAGTCGCCTTCGGGTGGAGAAGCACAGCCTCCAACATAGCTCAATAGGCAAAAGCAGTGTAAGCAAAGGCATGACATTATTCTAAAGTGGTTCTTAGAAATAGTGTTTTGTATAAAATCAGCTTGTTTTTAAAAGCCTCATCCTGCCAGAAGTAACACTGAGAGGGGTCTGTGCTGGGAGGCTTGTGCACTTAATTGCGTTTGCTTATGTCCTCAGTAAGTGTGGACAGGAGAGAGCTCCGTACCAGAGATTGCCAAGTGATTCTGTCTGAATTCTGTAGTCAGAAGGTCACATAATAGATTTAAAAAGCTCTTTGAGCTTCTTGGGTGGATGTCTAACTGTTATCTCTCCTGTTCCTGTATCTAACAGCTTGCTTCACATGCCATTTCTAAGTGCTTTTAGAAAGCCCCTGTTTTACCACAAACCAAATTTATCTGTGCAGCCCAATGCTGTACAAACTGCGCTCTCAGGTTTATTCCGCTTAAATCTGGAGACCGTGGTTGCCAAAGGCTGGCTGAGCCCGCTAAGAACTTGCTGCTGTTGGAGCGGGTAGTCTTGGTCCTTTCTGCCACTTTTTGCTTTGCCTTGTGTCCAGCTCCCTAGTGAGCCGACTCAGACACAAACTCACAGAAAACTGACCCAGATAACAACAAAAAAGGGAACAGTTCTCTGTTGAATTATTGAGCTGGAAAAGCTCACTGAGAGGTGAGACAAGGGCTAGCACAGGGAAAGGGAAGGGACTGGATGGCTAAAGGGAAATTGAGGAAGGAGAGGAATCTTATTTTGGTAGCAGTGAGTTTAGATGAGCTCAGTTGTCCTGTGTAATGTGTGCTGAGGACCTTGCATGGTTAAAAATGAATTTGTGTCTAATAATTCTATGTATATTTAAGTCATGGCTTGCAAAGTGGCAGAACTGTAAACGGAGATGAAGAAATGTGATGATTTAGACCGAGATGCCTGCAGATTGCCAATGCTGCTGGTATTGGGTACATCTGAGCAGCATTTATTACAGTAGGCTCTCTTACCGCTTTTCCTAATCAGTGACTGCATTGAAAGGAGTGCTTATTGGTAGATCATGTGGATAGCTCGTGGATCATGTTCCTGTTGCACTTAGCTGGGAAGTTACTGAATTTAAAGAAGCAACAGAATGTTTTGAAATGTTATAAAAACCTAGATTTACTATACGGGTGCTCAGGCAGCCGCGCTCCATGTAGGTTTTAAATGAATGCTTTCGTGTGATGCTAAATGTTTCAGCCTCTAACAATAAAGTGTAAGGCCAAGAATTTGTAACCTGGACTGTTTTACCATCTCATTTTCTAACCTCCAACATGTTTGATATCTCTGGTTCATTTGTTCCTTATTCAGAAAATGAAGGTAAGAACACGAAGATGCATTTTGTTGGGAAGAATGGCAAAGAAAGTGTACGAATAATTTATGTGTGCTATTTAAGGCATGTCAGTAGTTCTAATGTAATGAATGCATCTGTTGTGTACAACAACTGTTGTTTATCTGTTGCCCTATTTCTTGTTCCATCCATCACTTGGGTTTTGTGGTTTTTCTTTTCTTTCTGATTTTTAGATTAAAATCCACAGAAATACAGATTTCTGCTTCATTTACCAAGAACAGGCAAAATATATTAAAAAGTATATCTGATAGCATCAATCTGATGACCTTCCATTAGAGTACTGAATCTTGGGATACTAAAAATTATAGTATTAACATTGTGACTGCTTATTTCTTGCTTTTTTTTAGGAAGCAATTAATTTGCTTGAGCCAATGACAAATGATCCTGTGAACTATGTACGTCAGGGAGCTCTGATTGCATCTGCCCTTATCATGATCCAGCAGACTGAGATTACCTGCCCAAAGGTAATGTGGCATACTGTACATACCAGGTTTTTAGGTGTCAAAAATCGTCTTGGATGCCAATTCTTTAGTGCTTGGTACTGCACGTAAGCGTTGGCAAGAGAGCTTACATGCAGTGTAAAGAGCCAGAGCTGAATGCACAGCAGGAAGCTCCTGCATGGTTCAGAGCTTGCGCTTTTGAATGGGGGAGCGACACATGCTGATGGAAACATGCCTGAGAGATGATAGCATTTTAACTCTAGGCATTAAAAGAATAAATGCTCTTTCTTAAAGCATCTTGTAATGATATGAAAGCGACTGTCTTCCACTCACATGCACCGAGGCCTGTATGCTCATGCTTTATGTGAACACCGTTATTTAGTAAAGTTGGTTTTGATGTTAGTAAACTTAGTTTTGGATGTGGTCACCCTGCAGGGAACTGTTATAACTATGTTTATGTCGTAGCTAGTCTTAGACTTTTCAGGTGAAACAGTTTTTGCTGTCAGAACTGGTTTACTGGCTTTATAGCAAATACATTTTTTAATGGAGTTTTTCTTTCTGCTCAGAAGGCAAAAAGGATTGCATATGCTGTGTTTAGCTTTTAAACGTAATTTGCCCTGTGAATATATGACAGATGATGATATGCAAACATTTGTACAGACTAAGGTTCCCCTTTTCATCTGCTCTGGTGAGTGCTCAGGCACAGCAGTAGCTGGTACTTTGCTACTCATGTGTCATATATGGGTTGCTTTTATTGATGGCATTTTAGAGATTGAACTGTGATAAAAGCAGCCACATTTTTTACTGCATTTGGATGGGGAGAAAGAAAAGAAAGCTCTTTGTCCAGTGGAAAATTTTACTTAGGAAAGTCAGCAAAGGAAATCTAGAAATATAGGTGTTTGAGTATTTCCAAGTCATGGAACATGAAGATTTGCTGGCAGACAGTTTGTTCCTTTGAATTATTTAAAAACAAAACAAACCAAACCAATTAGTTTTCACTAAGCAGAATCTGTGAGCATTGTTTGTATTATCAGAATTGTAGTTCAACTGAATAAGCCTGTGGAGAACACTAGAGTTCTATTGGATCCCCTTATCTTCCAAGATACAAATTCTCTGTAATGTAAAGCTGAATTATCTTCTAAGGAAGGAAACTGCTTGTTGTTTTTATTGTTTCTTCCTTGGTCAGGTGTTTGGAATGCCAGCCCACAATATAGGAGATCAGGTTTAATCATTCTGTGTTCCTCCAATGCTGGGCAAATTGTACAGCTCTCTTGTGCCTCAGTTTCCCACCTGAAAGAAATAAAGATGATACTTTCTTCTGTGAAAGGACATTTATTATGAGAATAAATACATTTTAGTTCGCAAAGCACCGTGATCTGGGAGTGGGAATTGCAGACTGCTCTGAATCAGTCAGACATCCGAGGCTACTGTGAATTACTGCTGAGTCCATCTATTGGAGTTTCAGTCTTTTTGAGATGATGGGTGAAAGAGCCTGTGTGTCCTAAAGAAAAGTGCAAACAGAAAAACCACTAGCAAAAACAGAGATTGTTTGAGGTGTGTCGTAAGTCAGATCTCTTTCCCCAAAGAGGCCTGGTAACCTTGACTTCAGAGGTACGTGTGATACCTAGGCTGGTTAAATGGGTGATTAAAGCAGTTGGCTAGCAAATACAGGGTGAGATGTATAGTCTGGGCTTCAGTGACTTTTAAAAATGAGGAGAGGAACGGAAAAAGCTTTATGTCAGAGCCTTGTTTGGGCCAAAATTTGTGTGGTGTTGCACAATACAGATACAGAAGGCAATTCCTTACCCAGTCATAGAAGCACTGCAGATATTAAAAAACAACCCCCCAAAACCAGATTATGAAATAATAAATAATCCCTGAAATATTCTGCTAATTTCAGAACTAAACACAGAATATATAAATTTTACTTGTTTCAAACACCCCAAAAGTTAGTTATAACCATCATAGTTTCTTGCTCAAAAGTAAAAGGAATATTTTGAGGAATATGCTGCCAATTAAGTTATTTATTATCCATGGGAAACTTTTTTTGGAGTGCTCTGACAGTCTGAAGAAAAGTTATTTTACTCTGATATGGAAGGGTGGAGTTCAGAAAACGAGCCATTTTTGGATTACACTGACATATTTTGATCTAATTAAGATTCCTAAGTGGCATGCTGGTGCACTGTGTGCCGAAGCGTCTGACCTGATATATGTGAGTATTTGCGTCGTGGGATAAGCAGCTACTAAGAGGATCATGAAGGATTTAGTATCCTACGAGTTGTATGTGTGGTCTTGATGGCGTTATAGAGAAGCTAAATTTTACATATCATAATCTCACTGCTGCTGAATACTTTGTGATGCTTTGCATGTGAGAGATGGTGATTTTAATAAAAATTGTGACGTATAATCTGACCAGCTTCCTGACACTACTTTTCAATTTTTTCTGTGCTGGGATTTTTTTTTTTTTTTTGTAAACTTCTTGTTTGTGAGCTTTGGGTTAGAAGGACTTTAAATTCTCTGGCGATAATTTGGAATGTAGATGGTAGCAAACAATCTTCCTTGACTAGATTTAGATTTTTCAGGAGTAAAATAACTTCAGAGTTCTGAGATCTGAGCCTTGCTATGCTGAAATGCCAGCAATAAACAGATTTAAGAATCAAAGTATTTTGATTTAAAAGAAACCATTTTTTTTGGTGAGAGAATGTAGATTTATGCCTTTGAATGACCTTTGCTGTCCTCTTTCCTTTGTATTAGTTGTCCTCTTTGTTGTGCTCACTCTTTATTTAAAGAGTTTAAATTTAAATAAAGAGTTTAAACAAAGAATTGTCATTATTTGGAGGTCCCTTGAACTTGCAAGTTCTCAAAGGGGTAGCAAATCTTGTGTAAAGCTGATTTGGCCTCTCTGGAGTTGAAACACAATTCCTCCATGTGCAGCCAGTGTGATTTTTCCTGGCCTCTGTTGATACATTTAAGAACCATATTAGTGCAGGATATAGAACAATAACAAGTTTATTTTGTGAAATGGAATCCTAAATTATAGATGTGATGAGATCATTGTAACAGAAATCAATGACAACTTCATTATGTATTTGTGACCTGCAGGGCAATTAAGACAGCAATTTTGGAGACGAACTACATGTCTGACATCTTGAATTTAATTTACTTTTTCCTGGTTTTGTGTTAGGATAGTCATCTTGGCAAAATGAGAAGATAATAAGGAAGGTCAAGGCTTTTCCTTCATCTTCCTTTGATCATCTTGACCTATTATCTTTAAGGTGTTGTGAAGAAACTAGAACCAGATTGCTCGTTTTCTTTTTTTTTTTTTTTTTTAATTTAGATGAAACTCCAGGTCTGGCTAGGATGCAAGAATCATTTTTGCTATATCCTAGTACATATTGTATGCTCTTTCAAGAGAGCAAACATATGCAGAATAACTTCATTTTTTGAAGAAGATAGAACAGGCAAACAGTTTAAAACCTGTTCTATTAAAAAAAAATTCCTAAATATTCTTGTTCTTAAGAACTTGCATTTACAGAAAGCATCATGCACATCACGTGCGATTGTTTCCCTTAGTTAACAGTTCATTAAGTCTTATTCTTAACAGTCTCACGGGCTTCATGTGCATGAATGTTGACTGGTGGAGGGAGAAGTGGTAAACAACCTGATAAATGACAGCTCCTCGGGTTTGTGGTAGGAAATGGTGCTGTATCATTCTCATCTCTTAAAGCCTGTGTTGTTTCCTCGGTATTTCCAAGGTTGCACTTGGCTTCATCAGAAATCAGTGGTATGTTGTTTTGGCCAGCACTAATTATCGGAATGGTGTGTGCGTATTGTTAGTAAAGATGAAATGAGTCACTGCCTACGTTTTAGTGTTCCTTCTGGAAGTTGCCCAAATAAATTCCGTGACAGCATTTCCAAATGCTATAAAATTTTCAAAGTGTTTGAAGGTTTCAAGGGAGAACAGCTTGTGGGTTTCATAGCATAGTAAATAAACCTATTCAGTAGTTTGGGATGTGCTTGTTGCTGTGGTTTGAAGGAAAAATAGTAGCAGATTAAAGGGCTCTATTAGACACGCTCTGACAGATTTTGCTTCAACAGTTTAAGAAATTACTGTCTGTTAACATGTTGCTTCCTTCTGTAGGAAGTGAATGCCCCGACAGCAAAGGCAGAACTGAGCTTTTGCCTGTACTGCTCTTGCTTTCTCCACAGGGACGGAGCAAT